GTGAAAGCGAAATCGCAATAGGACCTGAAGGCAGTATAATGGAAAAGCAACCCATTTCAAATTAACCTAGGGATGGTGAGTGGTACACGAAAGAAGGAAAAACCATGAGAAACGGCCCAGAACCCGAGAAATGGAACCCGTTCCTTGCCCGTTGATTTGTGCATTGATGCTCTGCTATCTAATCACTCGCCGCGTATAGACCTGCGGCGAGTGATTAGATAGTCGGTGGGCGGACCCCGCCAACCGCGCCAAGAGTGAGCCATGCTAGGTCGCCGAGGTCAAATCTTTCGCTGCCAATTGCGCGTCAGTCCGCACCCTCAGGAGGTCCGCCGGTCTCTCAACTAGGCAATTACTTCTTCTTGACCTTCATTCTTAATCGTGAATTCCTCCTTTAAGACCATGCGGCTCTAAGCGCTGCGTCTCTGTCACCATTCCCAAACTCACTCCGCACTTTGAAGGAGCTTGGTGGCAATCATTCTCAACAAACGTGAGTGAGTCTGGGCTGTGAGTCTTACGGCAACATGTTTCTGCGCAATTTCAGAAGCCTTGGAAAGGCTCTTTTTTCGCTGTTGCTATTGTAAAGAGGACAGATAATGATTTTAACAAAAGTGCCGATTGGTTAAAAATTGTGCTTCGCCAATCACACTCAAAATTGACTACTGACTCGAGACCGTGAATGATTTCCTCACCATCATCGAAAAAATCCTCCATCGAGTCCTCCATCTTGAGTACAGCCTTTTCTTTCGACTCCTTGACTTCGATGAATCGCGTCAATTGATCTCCAATCTGTAAACATGTCCTATCGTTACTTGTTACTTTTTAGAGCGCTGCTGGTCAATTAATTGAAACAATTTTGTCAATTCGCTCTGATTTTAATGCGTTATAAGTGAGCCAGAGATAACTGCAGAGAAATGTGAAATAATTCCCAAAAATCGGTTAGATGGTGCCAAACGAGAACTTTGTCTGTTGTCAGCAAACTCGCCATGAATGCGTTGTGGACACTTACCTGCACAGCCCACTGGTAGAAGTACCTGCCAGCCGTTCGTTGGAGTGAATGCATTCTACGAGTGCCAGATGGAGTGCCTAGGAAAGATTTCATAGGAACTTTTCATAACATTTATTACGAAGTTAATGTTATACTAATGATTTTGAACGTTCCATTAAATTTCGAAATACTACGTTTAACCGGGGAAGCGATGTCCCTCTGTTCAACGCATCCAAGAGGAAGGATCCACCTGATTGGCCAATGGTCCACCGAGACTGAGCGTGCGAATGATGACTACTACGAATCCACTCAGGCCATTGTCCTCGATTGCATCGCGAGACAAAATGGCAGCATTCGAGCAGAAGAGCTGCCCGAGCCAGCACAGGAGATTTCTGTAACAGTTCCGAGTATAACCAAAAGAACGCCCAATATTTCTGGTGTTAGGACATCAGAGACACCTTGCCCGCAGGCATAATCTTATGGTGCTTCTTGTCCCTTCCTCTATGACATATGAAGGCAAAGCAACGACTGGTCTCTAATGGCTACTTTCAGGTAGCCAATACAAAACTACCCTAGTCTTAACCCAATTTTACTCATAATATAATAGAGGCAAAACAGTGGGAAGTAAGCAAACTCAATTTTTTTTTGATTTCGCCACTCATTTAGCTACTTCAAGAATCGTCGAGGTGGTTTAATATGCAATGTTTTGATTTACAGAACTCAGCATTCACGAAACACCGCAACCAGGGTGAAAATCATTTTAATGATGCGGTACCTCAGTGCGCCCCCCTCTCGAGATCGGGTCTTGATACGACGCCACTAAACTCTTCATTCGAAGTGAAAAAGCGATTTTCCATCACTTTATTCATATGAACAATCATTGCGACTGGGGTTCACACTGATTCATTAACCAACGTCGAGAAACGACAAGATGACACTACCTATTTGGTCGTATAACTTGTGGCGGCTCCCTAATTCAAAAAACGCCCCCCTGCCCTGTCTTAATATATAATGCTGAGAGCAATGGTCCGATACATACGCGAAGGCAGAACAAAGCGATGTGCATACAATGCGTCTCTCTATCTACTGACAGGGGTCACCTCAAATAATTAGAATTCGGGAATTCGAAGAGTAAAATGAAAAAAGGAACTCTTACAAAAAGGTATTCAATTGGCAAATTCCAAATGAAAGAATCTCACCAGATGTAAAAGAGCGGCGATAAGCGGTGGGTCTGGAAATGTTCCCGGTCGAGTCGTCTCCAATAGAAACGCAAACCGACGAACTCCTTCGAAAATGCCCTATAAAAGTTGTAGACATTAACTAAGTGTAAAATTAGCAGATACTGTCTTTTCCTGTGGAGCTTGGGAAAGCTTTATTACTGTGGCACTCTGCTCTTGCCATCTATTTTTACATAACTTACACCACAGAAAAATATTCAAAAATCGTCAAGACTCAAAAAGTCTCCCAGATAAATTTATCCGTGATAATTCGAAGCATGGACACATCTTCTTCACATTTGAAGGCACGGTTACGGTCGAATCGCTGGGTCATATTGCTCGAATACTAGACAATAAGTGCGATGAGGAACGTTAAGAGGAGAAAAAGCAAATATCACAATAGAGACACTGAAATTTCCATTGTAAAGACGGCAGTGGTATGATGGAGAGATAGGCGCTGTGAGGACGAGGCAAAAACGCGAGAGAGTAGGCCTTCCGGGAGCACAAAGGCCGCGTATGTCCGATTTATAAGGATGGCAGCGGTGGCAGCGGCAAGCGAATACATTACACTCCTACGATACGTACTTTCAAGTCGCGACATATCATCACCTGTGATGAGTAGGGGGCCCACTACCTCGCCCAAGGGGCAAATTTCCCTAAGGCCATCAGCCGACCCGTACCTGAAATTAAATTTGCATATAGCGAAAATGCGGGTCAATATTGAGTCCACACAATGATGGCGCTAATTTACCTGCCACTGAAAAAAGGAAAAGGCATCACTGGGGATTGTTCTAGGCGCGTTTTTCTCCTGAAAGTAGGAGAGGTGGAGGGTCTAGAGGAAAACATGTTAGACAAACTAGGCGCCGAGGTGAGAGAACGCCAGTCAAACACGAGAGAGCGTAGCAGGGAGTGGAACAGCAGAGACCGCGACGGTGGGCGTGTCTTGGTTGTCAGTTGCAAAAGGCGTAGTTTTCGATTGAATTAAGGTAGAGGCGGTCAGTGGTGCCGCGATGAAGAAAAACCATGAGAAACGGCCCAGAACCCGAGAAATGGGACCCTTCCTTGCCCGTTGATTTCCGCATTGATGCGACTCTCATCGGTGCTGCCCTCTTCAACGCTAACGCTCTCTCTGCTAAACGGCTAGAGACCTGCGGAGTGGTTAGCCAGTCGGTGGGCGTGCCGCGCCGATAGCGCCGCGGAGAGGGCCATGCTAGATCGCCGGGGCATATCCTTCGCTGCGAATTGCGTGTCGGTCCGCACCCTTAGGGGTCCGCCTGTCTTCCACTAGGTAGGTTTCCCTTCTTCGACCTTCGACCTTATCGTGGAATCCTCCTTCAGCTGGATCGATGAATTTTCGGAAATAGCGTTAGGCAGTCGCGCTGATATGATTTTAAGACTTTCGAAAGCTTTTGCATGAATTTTCAACACTTTTCACGTTCAGGCGAAATCAATTGAAAGTCGAATTCCGAGCCAGTAAAGTAAGTCCAGTTACAACATTTGAGCTTACCTTATGGTCCAACGACCGAGCCGCCGGCACTATTAAACCATAGAGGCGAATATTCCCTTGAGCTAAACATGACCAATGATCACGATAACGATTAAACACGATCAAAATATTCAGCAAAATAATCCTCACCCAAATAACATAATAAATAGTGACGTCAGGATAAAAAGGTCAAAAAAGAAATATCAAACATAAAACGAAAGCACAATCGAATAAACAACAAAAAAAAAGAATTCCACCAAAGCCGGTAAACAGCAAGATCGAGAAGTAGTTGAAGTTGGAAGAGTAAAAAAACCTGTGTCAAGAAGAAAAATTGGAAGAAAAATGAAAAGAAACTACCATCGAAAGGATTCTTTGAAGGCTTCCCGCGTATGGATTCACTGGTAGGCTTCCTTGCACTGAGGTAATCGATCTCCTGAACATGTACAAGATCATGTTTGTTGGGAGAAAGCTCAAAACCTTTAACGGCAGAAACTGGAAGACGAAACGACACTACTTTTGGAACCGCGAAGTCGAATTTGGATAGCTTGAAACCATGCATTAACAAGCCTTTGGACTGATAGGATGCGTTGCGTTCTTTCCATACAGACTAGTACTAGTGCCTGCATGCAATGTCACCTTTAGGGGGAATCTGTAGAGGGTGCTTGTAAACCCTCGTATGACTTGTGGTGCCATGTTAGGAGCTTGGAAGGATGATAAAGTGCATTGACCATTGAATTTTGGGTGGTGTACTCACAAACCGACTTTATTTGGGCAACATAGTAGGGGCGTCATGTCCTCTACAGGGTGGTCCAAAATTATGAGGACCAAGACATTGTGTCTTTAAAAACGCATAGTAGCTTGATGGAACAAACCAACTTCAGGGAAGTATTTCTAACTCTTCCTCAAAGTAATTCCAGAATAGAATTGAGATCTGCCACCTGCCCCGTTCACACGAGCCTTCAGATGAAGGGGATGGCGCGTGCGCTGGCACGCAACTGAGGCGTGTCCAAATGTTTCCAGGCCTTCTGCTCTGCCTTCTTCAGGGAATCAAAGTTTTGTGGGGCATTTATTTGCGCTTGCATCCAGGGTGTGTGAAATACAGAAATCTAGAGCTATCAGGTGGAAGGTTCCATTGTAACAATTCTTCGAAAGCAACGAACTCGAAAAATCGCTTTTAGAGAATTTTTGCTTTATTCTTGGGTGCTCGGTCCTGTAAGAAGTCCCAAGTAGACTACTCGTGTGGCTTTCTATCCTACAGATGTGGAGTCTTTAGAGTGTCTGGCTGGGTTTTCACATCAATTTTTTCATTTTGGGTGTACGAAAGTCGACAAGGGGAGACCTAGTTTCTGCATCTGATAATTATCCTGGTGGTAACTGTAACTTTCGAGTCCCCGAATTTTCCATCTGTGGTGGTTCCAAACTTATTGAAGAGTTGAACTGTTGCTCATAAGGGCTTCCCTGATAGGTTAGACTGCTGCTAGATGTAACGTGCCAGAGCCCCTAGTGAGTTCAATTTGAGGACTGACTCAAAGTGAAGTAGTTATTTCACTAGTTTTGAGAACTTCATGAAATTGGTTTCATTAGGAAGAAGACATTGTACCCTCTCACATAGTGCACAGAAAACGAGATGAAAATGGAGCGATACGGAAAAAAGTGGATATGACTGCGCGCACGCATGCGGTCCTCATAATTTTGGACCACCCTGTACATCACCTTCGCCATTTCATTTTATAGAACCATCTCATTTATAGCAACAGTCCCAGCAGGGTTTTTACCTTCAGCACTAATGGTGTGGAACGAATGTGCTAGCCTCAGTCAAGAACAAAAGGAAGTGTGTCGGTTGGGAATCGGTACTCATTGGAAAATCTGGACGAGGGCGGCGATTGCAGGCCGCCGCTGAGCCAACCCACGCCCATGTTCGAAAGCCATATCCGCTCCTTTCGCAGCGGACTTTTCGAGTATGAGTTTTTTGTTCTGTCACACTTCTTATGTTCTTGGCTAGGGCTAGTGCATCGTTCCACACCATTACTGCTGAGGGTGAAAACTTCGCTAGGACTTTTGACGGTTTTGTTTGTTAATGGTGTCGTTTTGGCCGCAGTTTCGCCTTTTGCAGATGCCGAAATCGCCTGGAAGCGAAATGTTTGTTCAACAACCGCCATTTATGTGAAAACTTGCTCGGCGACTGTTGCTTTAAGGCAAATGTTTAAATCGAAGGTGGTACCTACTAGTTTGGGATGAACTTTGGAGACCTTTTCTGAAACTTTGGGCATTTACAAGAGAAAATGAAACAGAGGACAACGGAACAATTACATATTCGCAGACTTAGATATGGTTTTGATCCCCCCCCCCCCGCCCCCCCCTCTCGACCGCAGACAGCCCTTCAGCGATAGGTCGCAGTGAGGTTGCAATCAAAAATAGTACGGTACCCAACACAGTGATGTTCTCTTGTTCTCTGTTTCTGTCTCGGAATTGCGACAAACTGCATCTCCACCAAATTCATGAAGCAAAAAGATTGCGTGCACGTGCAGCACTGCTCGATGTTGCGGTTCCACTAAGTAGTGTTTCAAAGGCAAAGAGGAAAAAAGCAAAGGCTCTTCCGGTTACCCCTTGCTTGGAGATCAAAAGGAGGAGGACTGTTCAAGCAATTCCAACTACGGAGAGCTTTCTATGCCGTCGTTCTAGTGCTCGGAAAGAAATGTGACCAAGAGACCATAATTGAAGGGATAAAGTTTACGGCATTAAGCCAATCCCGTTTTGGAAGGAGCCACACACTGCACCTCCATTCCGGATCGTAGTGGCATTTGAATGCTGTAGCCCACACAAAGACTTTCAGACATGCGCAGAGGTGGAAGGCTTGGTTGGCCCAGACGAGATTCGATCCCCGGATTGTGAGCGTGGGGAGTGAGGCCACTTGCCACTATACCCTTCTGCCATCATCGAGAGACCACATCGCATGGAATGAGAAACATTTTAAGAGTTTACAGAAAGGGAGAAAAGCTTACACTCAATTCATCAGCCGTTTCCGAATCTGAACACTCCTCGTCCATGTTGTCACTTTTGTTGGACTTGAGCAGGTTGAACGCTGAAAGGCAAGAAGTATGAATAGAACGAAGAAATCACCTACAAGAGTTCCTTTCATAGTTTTATAAATAATTCAATATCATAGCAAAGAGCAATAAAAAAACAAACGACTAAGTAAACAGGTAGAAGAATCAAGCATAACGAGCATACCGAAGTGCAGCTTTCGGAGCACTCTTTTTCTTCATCATTGCGGCTGAGACCAACGGTGACAAGCCGTCGTCGATCGACGAAGCGGTGCGAGGCGTCGACGGCGACGAATCGGCGTCTGATACCTCTTCTTGACCGCTTTTCATCACCGAGTCGTGCGACGACTAAAATTAGCTTTGCTGATTTTTGCATTATAAACTGCTCTTACTGATAATTATGTCAGGAAATATATGTAAAAATTGGAGGGCATTTCGTCTTCTTCAAGAGGAAACGCTCTTTTCCCTAACTGCTACTGTCAAATACTGAGAGAAAAGGTTTACCTTTTCTCGTTTCCGAAACAATCCTCGCCTAAGTGACGCCTGGTCTCCACGCACTGGTGGCGCCAATCCGCTCGGACTGCTTTTTCCGCTCTCGTCCTTCCGTGGCATATCGCAACTGAAAAATATGATGAGACAGCTCCCCACAAGCGGCTCAGAATATGGATTTACAAAGGTGTAACTAATTTTCCACTTGACCTCAATGTAAACATAAACTTATAAACATTGACTACTGGTTAAATACTCTAGCACCGATACCTGTTAATTCAATAATTCAACAAAGATTCATTGGGTTCACGAACCATTTGTCAGCACGGGTACAGAAAGCCCCTGAAGGCGGCACATGGACATTGTCGACGTGACACATCAGAAGACAGAAAGAGAACGACGACAAACTGTTCCAGCCATCGCCAAACACAGATGAGGTAGCGTGAGGACATCGAGGTAGCACAAAACATAACTATTGAATTTTTGCCGTATTAAGCGACACGCTGCACTGGAGACGAAGGGCCGTTATCAGGACAGAGGAACGAATGGTAAGATTGGTTGTGGGAGGGTGCGACCAAGGTACATCGGAGCGCCAGTGGAGTCCAAATCTCTTATTGGCTGAGGTCATTGCGCCATCCAATGAGAGAATGAGTCTCCACCCTTTGCAGCGCGAGGATTCAGGATCCCTGCTAATCAGGCTCATGCACAATACCCACTCAAACGACTGCCAGACGCGTGGCATGGTGATGTGCAGGTGTGGATGATGACTTCTTGTCGATGTAGTACCGCCTGTGGACGACGAACGCTCATCGAACATCGATCGTACGTTACCACAACGTAGTCGCAGTATCGATCGACGAGCGTGACAAGGAGGTTTTGGGGAGGACATAACTGGGGCCGGTTCGACGGGGTGAGGGTGGCTAAAAGTAATTTTGAAAATTAGAAGAGTAATTACTGGAAGGAAGATGTGAAAAGAAAAAAGTAGTAAGCAATTGTCTAACCTCTCCAGCTTCGGTGATTTATCGATTGCATCCAACAAGGCACTCAAACCAACTCGTCGAAATGGATTCCCATGCTGCTCTTGGATGAAATTCACCAGCATTCGTACGTCTCCAAGTAAGCTCTTAAAAATGTGATTTGTGTACTACTGTAATACTTAAAAATAACAACTGTAGAATATCTCTAGCCTGGGACTCGCTATCGCGGCTTCGCTAAACTGTTCACGTGTCGATGTCAACATCAACAAGGATGGGACAGGGTGAATATCGGTCCAGGATTCTCAACGGCTTGTCGAGGATTTTGCCTGATCAGTTACGCTCTCCCGCGCGACATTCACACTCGCCATGCGCGAGCCGTCTGCGCGTACGTTCACTCTCGGCACTACTCTCGCACAGTACAGAGCCATGGTCGAGGAATTCCTCGACCGCTTATTCACCCTGGTGGATGACAAGTCTGCCCCCCTCTTTCCCCAGCACAAGCCGCGAACTTGTCGACAAGGGGTCATATTTGCCCAGATGACAGGAGGGGATTAGATGGTGTTTTTGACGCAATGGGGATTTGGAAATCGCAAAAATTTGGGAAATTAGCATTGTCTCTGTGTAGCAGATATATTATGAATGCCCCTTCCCCCTCTCGCTACAACCCCTCCCTCTCCCCGCCCAATTCGCTTCACTTGTTTCACTTTTTTAGAAGTTGATTGTCATTGGTACCGGCCGGGCTCAACACCATTGTGGTAATCAACTATGGGAAGATGGGGTTAGGGAGAAGGAAAGAGGAGCAAAGGAGTGAGGGCCGTACTTATCATACGCAGAGAATGAAGGAGGTCACATCGGCCAAAGAACCTTCAGACATGGCTTACGCTGATCATATCACAATGCCAATCATCTTCCCGTCTGTATATGGTCACTACCGTAATTCTTGCAGATCGTTGAAAATGGACACCGTATGGCGCCGAAAGTACTGTATACGCTACTGGAACATACCAAAAACTTAGAATGCTTTCAGAAGAACCAAAGCTTTCGAGAATAGCCTCCCACATTAGTAAAAGATGTATAGCTTTTCTTGGTTGAACACGCAGGAATCCCCCCTTCTCCCCATACTCCGAATCAATGAATCGATCGATTTTCTGCGAATATCGTACTATGTTTTCTTCCGGTTCTGTCAGCTGGTCCTGTATCCGAGCAAGTTTTGTCGCGAGATTCTTTAGTGTGGCGGTTGATGATTCGTCCCTCGATGCCCTTTTCACGCTCGTTGAATCGATTACGGTAGGAGGGCGTTTTGCTTTCAGATTGACGTCGTGTCTCCTCTGAAGCGGAACTGCTCTCTCAAATTGCATTTTAAATATGATATGTGTGAACAGAAAAGTCTCATAGCGATGGGTGAGTATCTCCACGTCTGCGAAATTCGAGACCCGCATTAATGACGTGTTCGCTTTACACGAAAAAAGCCCCCTTGTTTGACAAACCCTTACATGACACCTCACTGGAATTCTTTCAATAAACCGCAGAACAATTTTACGCCCATCCACTAATTTGAACACAAACACAGTGCATGGCTCATCCCGCACTGAATGACCAACTGCATTAATCCCTTTCACCTGCTGCTCAACAGCTAAAACTACCAGAGCTCAGCAGCAGTTTTTCGTTCGAGAACTTTGATGCTGAAAATTTAGGTCATTAGTGCGATATTTTTAGACGTTGTTGTACTTACGAGGAAATTCCGAGCGACAAAAAGCTGTAATCGAGTGAATAAGATCGAGAATCTGCTGAGGACTGTTCTCCTCCACATAGTTCGTGAAGATAGTGCGAAAGCGCTCCTGAAGTAGAAAACAGTAAACAACTATTTTGCCCTAGAAAGCAATCAGGATATTCAATCCCCCCCCCTCCCCCACCGATGACACGTGTATAAAAGGGAAGCAAGAAAGAACCCACAGAGTTGGAAAGAAAGCAGAAAGGGGAAAGAGAAACGTGTCAAGATTCGTGACAATAATTGGACAGTGATATATTGGAGGTCTAAATACCAAGTTTCCTAAGTTCTCCGTAGGAACCTCCTTAGACCACAGCATTATCTTTTAGGCCTCCATTGATCCACTCTGTACCATCCTGGGTCCTCGGTTGAGGTTGGCGACCCACTAAGCTGGTATCCGGAGTCGCGATCCCCTCCCTGCGGCTTGCAGTGTTTGGCCGGGGCACTGCCCTTCCTCTTCCTTTTTTTTTTTTTTTTTCCTCTTCCTTTCGACCCAGACCCCCATGCCCCCCCCCCATTCATGCTTCTGTGTCATGTAATCAAGACTTCTATTGTTAACTTGCTACTTTTCTATGTCCTCATTGTGATAATTACGGCACAATAGTTAAATAAATAAACCAGCATTTACAAGAGTACTTATAAGTCCATTTACAAATTTTAATGGTTCCACTGTTCACGTTTTCAGTACAAAATCAATTAGCAGCAGAACATTTTAACGAACCGGGAAAGCAACTATATAAGATCAGAAACTGAAAACCATGTTGGATAGGGATGAACGCTTCTTGAGGAATCACAAAACCACAAAAGACTATTACTGGACAGCAGAGGTATAATAAAGGCAAGCAACGACTAAAACGGAAGAATCGAGCTCACCTGTTGTTGCAATTTCTCAAGTTGAGCTAGAAGTGTTTTAGCTTTGACCCGAAGAAAGTCACCTTGTTGACTTTTTACGCCCTCGTTGCAGCCGTGAGGACAGCCGAGGGAGAGGTAGATTCTGAAAAGGTGAAAATGAAGGAGCGTATGATCATGATGTTATCTTTCTGTCACCAGAGGTTGCTAGGTGGAGACTTTTATTAATGGTCTGACGTTTTTGACGAGATCGTCTTCCTCAAGGGCTCAGTCCACCACCGCAGGAGCAGAACAGAGCCACTCCAGGTCAGTTATGGTTAGTAACGGCATGCAGGCCATTAATTAAAAGTCCCACCTAGGCAACGCGTTAGCAGAAGAAAACATCATAACTACAACAATGCCGAGGTTCTACGAAGAGAGAGGTTGGAGTTTGCAAAACGTATGATCCTTTTACAAATATGAAACTCAATGAAAAAAGAATGTGTAGGATTTTTCGCACTTGACTCTCTCATTGCCCACGCCTACTCACAAGATAGGGTTTAAATTGCACAAAGAAACGTTAGTATGTTCAATTCCAAGATTACAAGTCCTGGAGCGATCATGACCGTAACTGGGAAAAAACGTTTCACTCTGATCGATTGGTATCCGAAGCAGAGTTTCTGCGATGTTCAGTGCTAGCTCACATAATCTCACAACTCCATTCCGCTCCATGACCTGAAAGTTGCCAATTGCATCTCCACAGTATTTCACATGGAAGAATTCACTGCAAGCTGAAACTGCAAAGTAGGCATAGATATGACACGGAACTTCCGCCGAACCTACCCGTCGCTTCCGCAGACTAACTAAGCCATTTTTTTAATAGACTTCTTCCTCAATATTTCCATTTTTCCATGTTCTTGGTGATCATAAGTGAAAGTCTGTTAATTCTTTTAACCCGTCGCTACTTGCGTGCCTTTATTTCTTGAAATATAAGCTTTTTAATACGGCGAGTTTGACCTTCACTGCTGTGGCACAGGTTTCGGAATCTGCTCTTATCTCTTACAAGTTCCGCTAGGGTATTTGAATTTAAGTTTTATGAAGGGAGCGCAGTAATAATGATGAGTTATTTTAAAGATGGCTCATCGAAGAATCGCCCTGTTGGGCATTTTTCGCACATTGTATTTATATCCCTCCACGTTATTGCACATCTCTGAACTTGGCCCAGAAACATTGAAACGTCTCTAACACATTTACTGATCCGTGTCAAATCAAATTTTCAACGCTCATTGTTAACATCTTTACTTTCGCATATATGCAACTGCACCCGCTTCTGTCCTTCCGTTGGGGATCGTAGAGAGGTTCAAAAAATTGTGATCTTACGTGGAATCACTCGTGAAATACAGCTACCCTAGCGTTCCACCCCATTCACGAAAAGAGGGGCCTCTGTTTGAAAAATGTTCGTCATTTGCTTGAGCGTTTTTCCCGGTTCCTGACGCGCTGGTAACCTAATTAAACCCATTATGAAAAGAATTCAACCCACTGACAACTCGAAAAAACTTTGAACAGCGAAATTCGGAAGATCAGAGTTGTTCCACAGTTGGCTGAGCTGTACCCCTCCTTACCTTTTAGCGCTGGACTCTGGCCGACCACCAGAAGAGGAACAGAAACATAAACATACCTGGCTGATGGTTTGCACGACAACGGTAAGACTGAGTCGACCATTTTTTTCGATGTAACTGGAGCTGCCAAGAGCTTCCGGATAGAATTTGGCCGCGATCTTCTCGTTCGCGCCTTTTCGGAACCCTTCGACGATGCGTTGCTCACCGATGCGCTGTCCTCTCGGATCGACAGAATCTCACACGAATTATTCAACGAAGGATCAGATCTGAAGCAAATAAATAAATAAAATATTGAGATAAAGGAGTATGGGGGCCACGAAAATGATATTTCTGCACATCGAGCACACTGAAATGTGTATAGATGACAGCGCTGGGTGAGCGAGTCGGGCCGAAATCTGCGAAGCTTGAGCCTCCCCGGCGATTCTATAACGCTCTCGGCGCGCAATTCTTTCTTTCTTCTGAACGTTAACCACTTCTGCATTCATATGAATATATTAGTCCTGCTCAATTAAAATTATCCCCTTTTCAGAAAAACTAGGAAATGTTGCTTCAAAACAGGAAAAATGCAGTCACTGTTCCGATCTCGCTTCGTCAGTGTGTTTAAGCTAGCCCTCCTCGAGTGATGACCGCGAAATGGCAAACACGCTTGATCGCTTGACTTCCGCCTAGAACTGTCAAGAAATGTAAAATGATTTTCTGGAGAAAGCCCCACTGAAATGCTCAATTCATCAAGTCGCACTTATTGGATGTGTTCTTCTACATATACAAAAGTAGTAACCCCATTAGTCTACATAATCGAGAAGAGTGTAACATCTGTGGTTCAGACAGAACAACCTTTTCGTAAGGCTCATTTTATTGTGGGGCTTCCAAAAAATGGGTGAGTATGAAAAGTCAACGAATTCAAGAGAGGGTTATGTCACCTGCGAGGGGGAGGGGAAGGCGTTCGCGACTTAAATAGAGGAAACCCTCTCTCTCGCTGCAGCACCGCAATCAGCCAGCGTATATCATACTGGTGATTTTCGCAAAGTCTGATAGCTGAAACACCAAACAACCATACCACAGCTTAAAAAAAGTAGAGCTTTCGTAGCAAACTCCGCCCACTTTAATGCATGCTCTGCCCATCAACAACATTCATCCCTTCGCCAAGCTCTATCCACTTTTTTCCTGATCTGCAGGACTTATTATAGCCAAGGTATAAGCTTGATAGTAAACTCCGCCACTTCAGTGCGCGTCACGCCCACCATCGGCCATTTAAACTCCCTTCCTTGTAGCCTCTATGCATGTTTTTTCGGGTCTCTAAAAAGTCCCGGAGCCAGATTATAGGACTTGTAGCACTCGTGAGAACACAGGTAGAAAATGATCATTGGGTATACTAGGCAACATGCGAGGAAAAGAAAAGATAAAGAAAAAGAAACACAAAAAAAAAAGAAAAAAAAAAGAAAAGAAACACAAAAAGAGTCGCGCGCTATCGAAAAAAGAAAAGAAACACAAAAAGAGTCGCGCGGTATTGGAACTGAAATGCTTAGCAGGACAAGCACTGGTGCATGCCGCTGTGCTTAAGCCGTGGACTCGGCATCAATTTCGTGAACATGCGGAAAAGAGTTGGCAATGAGCATTCGTGAGAAGGACAATTCGAAAATGATATCAAATTTAGAAGGAAGCGAAGAAGAGCCGTAACAGAACACAGTTTCCTCGCCTAGAGTAGTATTATTAGGTTGTCCATAATTAGTGTACCACTCTGGCTGCTTTTCAAGTTTAATTTCATTCTCCTAAAGCACTTGCTCTTAATATACACCTGTGCGATCTACAAAAGATTGTGCACGCACGGGGAACCAATCCATGTCCTTCCCCTGAAATCCGACGAGCTCCTGAATTGGAGAAAGACTGGAGGTCAGGTTTGAGACCATCTCTCAGCGTAAATTTCTTCCTAAAGAAGAGCGCTAGAGCTCAGAGTGGGTGGTCTTTCGTTGACACGAGATTAATGCAGTATGGCAAAGCCCAAAGAACCCTAATATTTATAAACCTCAAGATGGAACTACCCCACAAAAATAGCCGAGTTTGTCTTGCTTCACTTTCAAAATTGACAGCGTCGCTATCAAGGTATCGACGTTTGTCTTCCTTCCTCAACCCTGAATGATCGGGTGGTAAATTCTCGCACGAAAGATCCTCTTGTTTTCCACCAACATCTCAAAAGTATCAGACTCAGAGGAGGTTGGGCTCCTCTGAGTCGTTTTAGCCGGGCTACTGCTCCCTGTGGATTTGCTAGTACACTCACCCAGTCCAGAACCCTGGTGAATATGCTGGATGATCACTGTAAGGAACTAAGGGAGATCAGAAGGAACATGACGATGTCAGATCGTGTGTGGAGCTGTTCGGCTCAGAGCATGTGAGATACAAACTAAATATTTTAAAATCTTTACGATTGCGGAGATGCATAGGTATTGTCATAGCTTTATAGCCCGTCGGAAGCACCCTGGTAAATGACGGCTAGTCTGTTCAAATTCTTTCAATGACAGTGAGATTGCCAGTCACGGGATGGTTGGAGAGTGGAGCATTTTTAAACAGTAAAAAACGATTCCGTAATGGAGTGAACCACACGCGCACCGTGAATTAAAGGCAAACCCCGGGATTAGCCCGACTAGTAGGAAGGATACCGCGAGGGAAATTGTAAGGTCCGTACCTACCTAGATCACTCCAGCTTCGTCGCAAAAATTGCGCGGTTAGGGCGCTAATCCTTACGGGCCTGCAACCATCGACCCCCGTTCAACGCTTCCCACCCACCGCGAGATGTGGTGAGATCAGCGTGCATTGATGTAGAGATCAGCGTGCTCTCTCAAACGACGTGCTCTCTCGCGTATTTTGTCTTCTTTGATCGCCCTGTCTCGCCATCGTACCACATCCGATATTAAGGGCCTCAATTCCATTGTTCCCAATGTTCTCTTGCTTTCCGCTCCACATTACAGGGCGGTTAAGCTATCACAACGAAGCGCTCTTAGCACCAGTTTAATACCAGGTTTGCGTTCAAGGAAGCGTGCTCCCTCCTCCCTCCTATCTTCTAGTTGTTCCTCTATATTGTTTGGCGCATGGAAAATCCTGATCGGTAGTGTGAAGAAGAGCCCGTCACACAACGAGAGGTTCTGGCAGATTAGTTCTGGGTTAGATATTCGAGTGCCACTTCGCAAAGTATCTTGCAGGCCTTCATTTTTCTAGGGATGGTAATAGCAATAAACGACCAAGTGAAAGCTAATATAAAATGGAAATCAACGACAACGGTGAAAATTAATGAGTAACGAAAAGTGCCCTGAATGGCAGTACTCAGATGAGTACCATCCACCCTGAAAAAGTAGGTCCGGAAAAAATTTACCGGAAAAAAGGCACCGCATGCAGAGTGTTCTACCCGTGAGCAGTTTATTCAAACAATCTCTCCTATGGACAGACTACGTGACTTAATTTCCGCGCCAGCTCATCAATTTTTCGAAATATTATATTTTCATGACAGTTTGCATTGACGATGAATTTGGTGTTTTAAGAGACAGTAGAGGGCAACATAAATATTTAAGAGAAGTAGTCCAGGTCTCAAGCCAGGAAAGAGGAGGATCATCGGGGTAAATAAAATTGCTTACTCAAAGTATGTACTCCTTGACGAGGACAAAGGGAAAGATACGAATGAAGTGCGCGACACGGAAGAAATTTGTGAGTCAAGGTTTCTCATGATCAGACAAACTTGTCTTGATGGTTAACCCATTCTTCCCTACTAAATCATAGCTAATGTCGGGAAGCTCTATTCCCAAAAGTTTGAAGTTTTGAAGCATTCACTAACTGAAGTAGCCATGCTTGCTGTTGCAAAAATAAATGATCGCAGAGCTGTGAAGACTCACCGGCTATCGTTGAACGCTACGTGCAACTTCGTTCGATCGTCATCGTCGCGTTTCAATTGAAAATTCTCCCACGTGGTGGTGCTGTAGGACAGAAGTCCAATCTGAACAATATCGCAAATAAATGAAATATCAGGGACGGTAGTGAAGTACCCTGAACTAGCACTCAAATGTGGTGATTTTTCTCCAATTTACGATGGAACAAGGAATGTAGGAACAAGGACATGACCCTTTTTGAAACCAATAAGAATGAATGGAAGCTTTCACCACATCACGAGCTCACCACGAGCTCGTGGTCACCCGATAACCAGCAAGTGAGGCCACATTACTACCGCCCCTGGTGAGCATGCGAACTTGTTTGAGGGAGACTTCGGCACGTCGTAATCATAAATCAGGGGTGTAATGTTATTGTCATAGATTTTCGAAGAATAATGACCAGAAAAATAATTCAGGGTTGAAGGCGATGCTACGCGATGGCGGGTTCCTTGTATGGGGTTCAGTTAGGTGGCGTAAACGCACTGCATCAAAAGTATGAGGGCACGCCAGAAACAGCTGTTCTGAAGTAGATCAAGTTTTCATGGTTCGCAACCTTACTTGAATTCATCTATGCTCTGAACTACAGCCCACTTTATTCAGAAAGCAATATTGGAACATACACTGCGTTCAATAATGATACAGCCACCTAAAATTTGTTCGAAAACTTAAAGTTCATAGAGTTTCTGAAAAACTGTCCAGATAGAAAATGTGACAAATTTCATGGCGAGTTCAGATATCAACACAAAAATCCATGTCGAAAACACTAAAAAATTTTGTGCTTATTTTTTCAGAAGAGGTCGATTTTCCTATGTTCAAAAATGATACAGCCACCCCGTGTTTCTTCGTTGAAATTCATTTTTGCTTCATGAAAATGATTCGCAGTTATCAGGCTTTCACCTTAATGTTCCCACAAGAGAAAAAAAAGGCAGCTGGACTTGGAAAAAGGTTCCGGGCACTTTCGATGAAATTGAAATGTTTCCCCAAAATGCGAAGTTTAACTTGACCAAAAAGCAATGATGAACATCCAGAGCTCTTCGTTGTTCCATAACCTACAGGATTCCAGAAAAGATTGTTAACCGTATTGGAGCTTTGACTCAATTTTTGCGCAATATGACTGC